AAACACCTCTAAAATAACTAATTCATATGAAGCCTATAATATTCTTCCCTCCATAAAAGTTTAGAGAAATCAAACAAGTTGATCACAGGAAGAATTTAAAATCTCTTTCTGAACGATAGATTGTGATTTCAAATCCTATACCTTATTATTAAAACTAGTATAAATACCCGTGCTACGCACAGTAGATTATATTTTTGAAAAAAATTACAATCTATGGAGGAATTTTAAAAAAATAAAATATTATAATCACGGGCACATGAAAGTATATTTAAAAAAATGAAACTTTTTAACAATAGTTCAATATATGATAAAACATCTCTATTATTTATAAACTATCACTTTGATGAAGGTTGGATCCTGAAAAAAAAAAATAGAAGTCTATATCATAAATTGAGCGACATAAGGGTCCAATTAAATATAATTGAATATTTAATTTGATAAGTAAATGAAATACTTACAAACATTTTGCCTTTGATTTGATAATCTTCTACGAAGGTATGAACATTCTTCACACCAATCACCTCTGAGTACGAATGCCAGTATTGGGGGTTTAATTAATTCTGTTGATTTTTGTGAAATTCGTACTATAAATGAGAATGCACGATTTTTACATGAATTAATGTGTTGGTCGAACTATGCACCTCTATTTTCCTGACAATTAAAAGCATACATAATTCAAAATTATATTTTGTTTTAGACAGTTTGTAAATAATATTATATAAAAATATATACATATAAATAATGTATACATTTGTTTTTAAATCTCTAAGATAAGAAGCATCACAACGAAACATGAATCGTGCATGCTTGTCTTGAAGAGTGAGGTATAGGTTACTACTGGAATCTCTAACTTCTATGTTAACATTGTATCTATTAAAAAAAAATTGTGATATATCATGCAAAAAATTATATTAAAATTCAAAATATATGAAAATAATTACCTGACAATAATGTCGACTACATCATTACAATGTATACACATTTTGTAAAATAAGATTGACATGGTTGTCCACAATTTTTGCATAACTCATGGAACATATTATCTATGTTGATACATTGAATGTAAGCAAGCATCCGAAAATATTTAACCTAAAACCATCCGAAGAATGTATAGATTACAATTATTAATTCGAAACTACATGTAGATACTTATTCATTACTTAATTAATTGAGAGGAATTGTACCGTAGGTAGAACTGCATATTCGGATATCGATATTCTCTTAGCATTTGATATCAACAATGCTTGGGACATTGTAAAATTGCATGACCGCAACCACGTCACTAATTTCTGAGCACATTTATCATTCTCAAACCTGCAAATTTTTCAAATACATATTCGTAAGGGTATGAAATATTATTAATAATTTAATATTTTGGTATTTGAAAAACTTACCAACTGTGTAAGTATTGAGCAAAATCCAAGTAGTAATTGACATACAATTTGCTTGCTCGAATAGTATAAAGTGGGTCCTGCACAATGTGCTATATTATTGATAAACTATAAAAATTAAATAAAATAAAGTGAAAATAAATTGAATTACCTTTATAATTTCTCACACAAATACCATAGGCTAGCAAAACATTGTTTTTTGTAACAGTTTGAGGCAAGTGTTCACCGTCATCAGTTGCAAATTTATCACAAAAAGTCAACCGAACTACTGTCAAACTTCATTTAGAGAATTTTGATAAGTATAAATCAAATTTTGCAGAATATAAAATATTTTAAAGATATTGAATCTATTAACTAACCTTTTGTCAAGTAAAAGTATGTCACACTTAGTTTTATCATTGATAGATGTTTGATAGTGTGAACCAACAGATACAACTAAACCAATTACATCTGCAAAAGATCAAAAAGTATAAGTAATACCAGTTCAAATATACAACTTAAATAGAAGTATGGTTAATTAAGAATGAAATACCTATCAATTGCAAATCATTGTCCATGTGTTGTTCTGTATCTCTTAGTTTGACCAGATTAAACTTGAAACGGGGTATGGTTCCACAATCATCTAAAATATTCACTATATTCGTATCGTTTCCAAATGATAATTGGTACTGATGTGGTGCAAGCCGATATTTAAGATCTGCCGGAATTACATATATATTTTAAAACCAGTATACCTTGCCTTCATGGAGATGATCTGCGAAAATGTTTATTGTAGTGGGAAGGTGGGTGAGGAGTGTTAGTTGGAGTAAGGTGTGTAAGGAGTGTTAGTGGAAGTTAACTTCTTGTTTGAGGAAAACGTGGGGGGAGTAACGTGCCCATAATATTTTTTACGAAATAAATTAAATGTAAAATATTAGAAAAATAGAGTTGAGAGTGGGAAGATTTGCGAAGGATTGTTGCTAAAAATCCCTTCTCAAATTTATATAGATATATAGATAATTTAGAAGGTGTGCCAAATCACTCCTCTCATCTAGATTGACTTTTCCCTTATAAACCCTTGCATTACCTAGTCAAATACCCCCAGAATAAGATATTGTAAGTGTTCTCGCATTTAAGTGAAAAAAGGTATGTCTTTTCCCCCCGAATTTTACGTGGCCAAGATGGGTCCTCTGCATTTCCTTCAAAATAGGAGAAAGTTAAAGTTGTTACCATTTTTTTAAATGAAAAAAATCCCATCCACATATTAAAAGTTTAAATCCTCTATAAAACAGATTCATAAACACTTGTTTACATTTAATTTTGAATATCCGCCATTTGGTCTTTAGCAGCTGAGGCCTTCTTCCACAATTCACCTATAGTGATTCTTTTCTTTGGTAAAAAATATAGAAAAGAGTATCCTTAAACAACATGCATGTATTAGCTTCAACATGAATCTGTTCACCAATGAACCAACCCTCTGACCAAACTAGAATTGATCTGTTAAATGGTTTTTCATCCAAACCGAGTTTTGTTGCTTACAATATTGCTTTTTAGCAATTAGCAGTATTTTCTTGATTTAACGCTCTTATTCTAGACTCCTATATATCTTTAGCTATTATGAAATTCGTAAGCACCTTGGAAATCTTTTCCATCATCACTTTTGCTTGAACTCTTAATTCTATTCTTGTTATATATTTTAATTTATCTTTAAACAATTGAGATTTATTGATCCTTTTATATAAGTTTCTTCAAGAAAATTATTTTGCACATTTAATTATTTGCTTCACGTTGACCTATCCTTATATTTGTCTTAAAGAATTGCAGTGGTCGTATTGTCTTTGTTTTCTTTATCGTTGATATGTGCCTTCATATTCTATAGGCATACTTCCACTATTCTCGATTTGTTTCTTTTTAAGTTCATGCGGAGATAATCTACAAGTTCAGTCTTTTCTTTTTTCTTTTTTTATGAATCCACATATCTATAGACTACTCCTACTCTAACTTATAGTAAAGAAAATTCCAATTGGACCATGAGAGTTAGAAGAAGAGATATCCATCTCTAGACTAAAAGAATGTATTACTACAAATTCTTTGAATTTAATTGCAAGTGCAAGAATTTGAACTTTTGATCTCCAGTTATAGCTGCATTCTACCTAACTCAGCTCTCCCCATTCTTCCCCTTGCCCCCTCTGTTTAAAGTCATACTCTGGCGTTTATGGCTGTGTAAACCATATTCAAAACTGAAATGAATTATGATATTGATAAATCATCTGATTTCATATGGTATTTATAGATATTTCCCCCATTTCTTTGTTTAAGAAAAATCTCAAAATGTTACAAGTGGAAACAGGGGAAGGGGAGGGCTTCAAAGTGTAACCTGGTCCCTCACAATAACCTGATTAAGCTCAAGATAATCTTCATTCCAAATTTGACTGCTAAACTGGGCTTATTTTGGGCCAGCCTATCTTTGTTGACGGAAACGTTCGTTTTTTTTTTTTTTTTTTGAGCAAGTTCACACCTCTTTCTGATGTTCCTTTTGAAAGTTATGTGAGATAGATACAGTCCAAGATAAGATGCAAATTGTCCCAATCGCTTTCTTTTCCTTTGGCAAAATTTTCCCTTGACTTTACCGATGAAATGAAGGATTATCCAAAACCATATTGTAGACTATATCTTTTTCTCTATATATCTTTAAGATATTCCGTTTGCCCCAGATAAAATTTTTTCAAGAAATAAGTACAAATTTTTCCTTTTCTTCCTCATACCTAAAGGAATAACATAAAGTTGTTTATATTGCAGGTGTGTGGTGACAGGAGTGGGCCTCATAAACCCTTTCTTACCTTCCACAATGCACAATGCAGGATAAAGTTAGCAATTATATTGTGCACCTTGTTTTAGATAAAGAGTTTATAGAATCTTTTGCAGGCAAAACCTTAAATTGACCAGCACAAATTGTTTCAAAGATAAAACTAAATGCCCTAGGTAATTTTCGTGGTCTTCTGGCAAAACCAGCTGCAAGCTTTATTCTTCTGCACCTTGCATGTTTTGTTTTGTTTTGTTTTTTCTGCACCTTATATGTGACAACACAAAAACATAAATAAATAAAGGAGAAGAATCAAAGCACTAAACTGTGATGACTTGCCAAATCCTGTATGTGTGCAACAATTTGGAGCGTGTAAGAGGGGAAAAACTAAACTACTTTCCTAAGTCCGAACCATGATTTTCAATCTTTATTTTCACCAAAAGTTTAAGAAGAAGAGGAAGAAGAAGAAGAGACGAAGGAAAGAAATCAATTAAGAAACAGAAGCTTTCTCCCTTATGTCAATTCAACTCCAAGCACCATCTGATCATCAATATTTCTGTGTTGACTTCCAATTTTGGGTGAAATTGCAGTACCTGTTCCACAAACTGGGCAAGCTGCTGTTTTTGCCGACCATGAAGGAAAGAAATCAATTAAGAAACAGAAGCTTTCTCCCTTATGTCAATTCAACTCCAAGCACCATCTGATCATCAATATTTCTGTGTTGACTTCCAATTTTGGGTGAAATTGCAGCACCTGTTCCTGGGCAAGCTGCTGTTTTTGCCGACCATGAAGGAAAGAAATCAATTAAGAAACAGAAGCTTTCTCCCTTATGTCAATTCAACTCCAAGCACCATCTGATCATCAATATTTCTGTGTTGACTTTCTATTTCGGGTGAAATGGCAGCATCTGTTCTACAAACTGGGCAAGCTGCTGTTTTTGCCAACCATGAATCAATGCAATCAGCATGAAAACAGTGATTACATTTTGGCAACAATCTGCACTTTTCACCTTCCTTGAAATTCTCCAAACACACGGCACATTCCAGAGTGCTTCTGCTTCTGCTGCTGCTGTTGCTATCCTCTCTTTCTTCCTCAATGCTAATATTGTAATCAAAACTGGGCAATTTCTTGATTTCATCTTCAGACATGCTTGGACTTCTTCTAGCATTTCTGTGAACAACAGCTCCACCAACTCCATTTGTAGTAGTATTTCTTCTGAAAGCTCTACTCACAATACACACATGAATGATTACTAAAACAGCTATGCCCACTAACAATAGTGTCACTGAGATAACAATTTCCATGCCCGTGTTTTCTTTCATCCAACAAGAAAAGGAAAACCCTTTTCTACCTTCTTCTAAAGTTTCATGGGAAAACCAAGAATTCCAAGAAAAGTATAGAAAGTTTTTTTCATCTGCAAATCCATGGTAGTTCAGAAACCAGAATTTCGATGTTATCGAAGAAACAAGACTTGTTTCACCCTTGAAAAATAATTTTGGATGGAGACCAAAAAAAAAAAAATTTGAAGAAGGAGCTCTGTTTACAGGTGTTGGTTGAGAGTCAGAAACGTTTGGTGGGTAACAAAACCAAAAAAATGCCATTTTGCTACAAGTACAGTAGCCTTAGTTGGTTTGGTTGTCTTTTTCTTCTTTTATTTTACGTTTGAAATATGATCAAGAAATTCTTAGGTTGAAATGGACCTTTAACGTTTACTATAATTAAAAGACCAAGAAGCTTGAAAAGTATATTATAAGATTTGCGTTAATAATTTATTGGAATCTTCCAAGTAGCCTGAGGCTAAATTTCAATGCAAAATTGTGTCATTTGACAAGTAACAAGCAACCACTAATTAGGTGACTATAATTTGTTTCTTACACCTCGGTTGGGTAAAGGATTGCAACAACAGCCGGAGTTTTTTTTTTTCCTTTCTCAACAGGGGAAAGGTGAAATTTAATAAGCAGAGAGGGGGAGGGAAACTTGAATCCAAGATTATTAAGTACTAGACTGGACTTCAAATTTCGTTTTCCATGAATAGATTAATTTAGGTAAATAGGATAGTGTATTTGTAACTGATACTTTTGTATGGTTAATTATAATATTGCTCAATGGTGTGCTGATTGTAAGATCAATGTGGTTGAATTGATCATAATTCTGCTCTATTATAACAAAAAAGTTATCGAATCCTCCAACTATATCAAAGTTAAAATTAGCCAACGAGGTAATTAGTTTGCACCAATAGATTAGCTCAATAATCGTTGGAGTAATATAAGGCACCATTTAATGCTTTTGTTTAGGGCTACTAACCTATGTTTATATACATGATAATTTTTTGTTATAATTTGTACAATATCTCATTATTTTGTCAACTTTACAATTTGACAAAACTTCAAGTTTGATGAACATTCCGAAGAAGAAAACAGTTAGAAATTAAATGGGCGGATAAGCAACGAAAATGGACTTTGAATGCTAAAATGTAGTGACTTGCTCTTAATTTAGTCCGACATTTTGTGATTTTATAGATTAGGTTCTTTTACTTCATATTTTTAATCAACTTTTTTTTTTTTTTATAGAACTTTCGTCTTGCCGTGTTATCATGTGGAAAAGATTACGCTATCATGTCCCAATTGAGACACGAATGTTGAATTTTCTAATGTACGACAAATTCTAGTAGTACTAATTTCTTAACAAAGTTAAAAGGAATAATTTCCATATTCATGGTCCCCTATCACCTTAGGGGAAGAAAAAATGGAAAGGGAAAGGCATTCATCAAAGATTCAGTGGGCTATGTGTTCTAGAACGCAGAGCCATCTTAGCCATGCAAGACAATTAATTTGTGGTTCACATTAATACTGCTAATATGGATCAATGTTGACTTTTAAATTCACAATTTCAAATACTTGTTAAAGTTTTGAAAACATCGTCCAAAACATTCTTTGCATTTTGCCAAATAAAAGTTTTTCGTCCTTCACTTCTAGAATCATGAATGGGTTTGTGGGAAGAGAGGGGAAGTAAGAGATTTCAAGTTCGAATCCTCCTACTCACACTAAATAAAATTAAAAAAAAATCTTTATTTTTAAATTATTAACTTTACGTACTTTATAAATTGAAGTTAGCAAAATTTGGGACCAACAGAAATTTTCAATCACTTTTTTGTTTGATTACACGATCCACATGTAATCTTTTTTTATGTACAAAATGGTTAGACTCCATTCTTTTAGTGGCAAAAATAAATATGAATTGGATTAGATCTCAATTTTTTAGGAAAAAATAAATAGAGTTGGAATCAGATCTTATTCTTTTAGAGACAAAAATGAATATAGATCGGGTCATTTATTTAACTATAAATGGAATCTAACTTTTTTGTCTCTAAAAAAAATAATCATGTGTGGTTCACGTGATAGATTCAAGATAAAAAATAGTCAAAAATCTAAGTTGGAACTAAATTTTATCAATTTAATTTTATAAGAAATGCAAAGTTATAATTTTAAAAGTGACAAATGAAAAAATTAATTTAGCAAAGCGTGAGAGATATTTTGAAAGATTTTTTTCTAAAGTTTTTCAAATGCGCGCGGAATTAACTTGGCCAGATCAGAATTGTAAATGCCAATGATATATGTTGGTGCGCTTTGTGCTTTTCAGTTTTCATTTCTCTTGGGGGACAAGGGAGTTGTTGGGTGTTGTGGAAATTTAAAAGAAAAAGAAGCCATAAAAGAAAAGGCACGCAGAATCATAATAACCGATGAATTAAGTTGTCAAGGTTCAGTTGGCCGTCACGCCCAAGACAGACAAATCTCGCGGTATGAAAGACAAATAAAGCAATATTCAAACTTTGTGTTTATCTTTTCCTTTCATAAACTACAGCTTGTAATGAGGGGAAGGTGAAGGATCAACATCACCAATAAATTTTTTTTTTTAGGGAACATCACCAATAATTGAATTGAATTCTATTTTTGCAGCTTCTGTAAAAAGCAAAGCTAGTGCAAATATCTAGCCACGTCAAGGATATGCTCGACAATTGCTAAAAAGACTGTAGTAATTAGTGATTAAGGCACATCGGATGTATACAATTAATAAAAAAAATATGTCATAAAATTTATGTTTGTAGAAAAATAAAAGAAAATTTTGAAAGCAAAATAGAAGTGCATTATTTTGTGTCTAATTGGAGAAGCATAAGTGGTGAGCAATTATGAAAGAAGTGGATAGCCTTTTTTGTGGTTGTATAACTAACGTATTAAGAAAACTAACCTATTAAGAATCTTTTTTGGCCTGATTGGAACCATTTTAACCTTAACATAAACTAAAAATCAACAATTTTGTATTGACACCATATAGTAAGTCTCCCGCTTTATATATTGTGAATGCGTAAATACATATTATACTCCCTCTGTCTCATTTTAGATGTTTTGATTTCTATTTTAGTTTGTACAAAAATATTTATCATGGTTTAAAATAAAAATAAATATAATATCAACTTTCCCATTGTACTACAAACTATCTTCGTTTTTTGGCTGTTGTGTCTTTTAAAAAATTTGAAACTCAACTACCAAAATATTGTGTTACCGTTTTAGGGAAAAAAAAAACTACCAAAATATTGAAGCTTAATTGAGGGGCAATAATGGAAAATTTTCCTTTGGTAACTGATGTATCCCCGTCAAACGTTACTTTTCTTAAATAGTGTTAAAAAATGATCATGACGTATAAAATGAAATGAATAGAGTATTAACAAACCCGTCATCAATCACATAACTTCTATTAAGCAGCCTTATAATGATCAACAATTTAAGGGGCTTTTGATTCTTATTAACTGTATCAGAATAGGAGTCACATTTCATTAATTGGGTTGGGAGGTTTAGGTCATTTAAATCTGTTTCAATAATCATTGTTCTTGATTACTACAATTCGCGATGCCATTAGCTTACTAGCAAACAGGTCCTTATTATTGTCAGGAATTTACATGGAAACTTACGTGACAGTCATGCTTCAAAGTAGAGTGTGTGTGGATGGTGTGTTTTGGTCAAACTTCAAATTGTATAGATAATTCCCCAAAAACTTAAATTTGAAATTTGAGTCTACGGTAACATATCTCTCAAAAAACACCTAAAAAATACTTCAAATTTATTTTAAATACTAGGGAGGAAGTGTCCGCGCAACGCACGAGTGTATGGTGACTGTGGTTAAAGAGAATTTTAAGATAGTTGTTTGTGGTGGTTGTATTGTTGTTTTGTGTAGTTTCAAAAGTATTTAAACTGGTAGAAGAGTAAGTGAATGACGATAAGAATAGGATATCATATTAAATGATAATATTTCATAGTATAGGTTTCAATAATAAATTGTCAGCAAAGACCATTTAGATCGCCCTTTCTTTAGATTATTATTCAACTTGCATTTCACAAATTATAGGTAATTTCATTAGTTATATGTCTATTCTTGGGTTAAAATGTTAATCAACTTGTTTATCAATAATGATTATATGCCATTTGTAAAAAAAGTCATTTAAGTTTCCTTTTCTTCAAATTATTATTCAATTCCTCGCTATCAAAATGAATTCCATATATGAATCACTTACTATATGCAGCAGAAAATACACTATGACTGAACTAATTAGTTGCTTTTTTGGCTTACCTTATTCTAGATACCTCCCGGAAAACTTTTTCTTGTAGTTGTTCCAAACCTATTGTATCATAACCACACTATTCAAATTTCATAGACCAGCCAAATTTGTGAGAAAATCATAATGTTACAGCTAAATTACGCAACCAGATTTTCAAATTTTGTGATAGAAGCAGTCATGTGACGCTACACACCACCAAAACCACCCACATAAACAATAAAATTAAGAAACAAAACTCACCTTAAGTTGAACCACCAAGAATAGTTTCACCTAAAAACCATTTTGGAATGTAGAGTATAAAGGCAGCAAAAATAGCCAGTTCCCGATAGTCAAAGGGAAAAAAACTGAAGAATGTGAAGGAGAAGGCATTTGAACAACGATAACTGATGCTGAGGCATAAATTCATTAACATACCCACGTTTTCTTCAGTTTAATTGAAATGTAAATGGCAATGACAATTGAATATGTTTTACGCAATTGAATGTTCTCAAGCGGTAAGATTATAGCAAAATGTCTTCATTTCAATGGCATAATAAATACCACACTTCAAGTCAATGTGTCTATAACACCATTTCAGTAATTATACCAATACATAAGCTTGTATGACTTGTACCTGATACAAAAACGATTATAAAATAATCCTACATTCCAAAATAACCCAAATGTCTCCATAAATAAACACTTTAAATATAC